GGTAAGCTTGCTGGTCGCCTGGCCCTCCAGAGCTCCTGACAACAGGTGCATTGTCTCTGAGTCCTGGTTAAATGACAGCAGCCAATAGTGGCTACTTCTGTGTGGGAAAACATGGTGCCCATGAGTATCGCTACAAATCCATGAAAGTCCATCAGCTCGGTTTTCTGATTGTTCGTGGGAGTGAGGCATAGAGGAAGAAAAGAGGCATAGAGGAAAAAAAGCTAGTGACTTGGCGGGGAAAGCCGTCTAATCAGGCCCAGGAGGAGGAGCAGAGGGTGACAGCCGCATCGTCGTCGTCTTCCTCTTAACTTGAGGGAGTGGGCACGCAAATTTGTCCAAAGCTCACGCTTTGCTTCAGCTTCCATCGCTTCTTTCTGCCGGCGCTCCTGCCATTTCCTGGGTTCTTCCTGCGAGGGTAGAGCCATTAGGAAATGGCCCTTGTGTGAGGCCAGGACTATGTGTCAGAGAAAGCCTGATTGATGGCTTGCCGGCCCTTCCTTTTTTCTCACCCCCACCCCGGGACCCAGAAAAGACGTGTAGTCACACCTGAACTTGTTTTTACACAGTGCCGTTCACCATCAGCGGGTCAGCCCTTGACCCTGGGAGTCCAGGGGACTCCCATTGGCTGGCTTCAGGAGCACATCACCAGGGCTTCTGCCCTACTGGTCCAGGTCTTGGAGCTCTTAGCAGCACAGCCACAAGGCAAGGCTCTGTGGACGGACAGCGGGGTGGCTCTGCTTGAGGTGCGCTGACCGTGAAGTGAACCCTGGAAGTCGAGAATTCTACCACTGACCCGCCACTGTCTTCTTAGGGATAATCATTAACTCTGACTTTGCCACGGTGCACTCTGATGGGTTGTATTCGGTTTTGCTCTACCCAGTGAATTGCAGGTTTTGCTACTTGGGTTTTGTTTCTTTTCACTGTGGTGACCCTCAGGTGGGGGTGGCGAAGGTGGGAATCAGCTGGCGGCAGGCTTGACTAGCGGACGGTGTGGTCCCAGTGGAGTTAATGCCCAGCCCCCCAGCCCCCGCGCCTCCAGCTAGCACTCGTATTCATTCTCCATTTCCTCAGAAATGCTGCCCCCGGCTTTTCGTGTGACCACGTCTTTGTTCTTCACACACTGCCACTTTGTTTGCTGGCCAGGCCACACAAGCCTCACATCTCTGTTCTGGGCACTGATTGGGCGGAGCTCAGGGGCCTTCACATGCTCGGAGGAAGAGACCTACCCCTCACCCCCAGTGCCAGGCAAAGGGGTGAGGGCGGGCCGGACCCAGAGTTTACAGGGAAGGACTGTCAGCCCTGGACCGGAAGCCCAGATTGTGGCCGGAGGAGACGGACGGGGGCGTGCTGAGAACAAGGAGTCCCGTCCAGTGTTCTGCTCACTCCCTCTTTCCCCACGCCTCTCTGCCCGCAGGTAAATTCTACTGCAAACCCCACTACTGTTACCGACTCTCCAGCAGCACCCAAAGGAAGAGACCGGCAGTGGCGCCCCTGTCTGGAAAGGTAGTTGTCCTCCGTGATGTAAGTGGGGGAGAAGCGGTGGGGCCCCTGGGCATGAAGGGAACAGCCAGTGAAGGAAGCACCCCAACTTGTCACGGTCCGTCCAGACAACTCCCCACATCCCTCCCTGCGTTTTTTAGAACAGAGACGGAGCAGCAAGGGGGCACTCCTCCTGCCCTCGGGATGGGGCGAATCCATGTGGTAGAGTAAGCAGAAGGTGGCGCTTCCATGTAATCCCCCAGACCCGACTTGGGTGGGTGGGGCCTGGCAGCAGGTTCTTCCCCAGCCCGAAAGCTCGGCCTCACGCTCCGGACTGAAGAGGAACGTGACTGTAAGGATGTTCTGTTCCAAGGCCCGTTCCCTTAGAGCACCTCATTCCAAGTGAGCTAGAAACCAATAGCCTTTTTTCTTGCTGATGTCCCTCCCCTCCCCCCCCCACCTTTTGTTGGTGAGTAAATAGCGCCCCAACCTGCCCTTGGGCTGCCCGCAGGTATCCCTTTCCCAAAGGGCTATCACCTGTCAGCACGCAGGCTAGTTCTGTCGCCTGGAGTGGGGTTCGTGGGAAAAGGTGGGAAGGGTCCAGGGTCTAGTGTTTCCCAGGAGGGCTGCCAACACAGAGACCTACAGCTGCTCCCGGATTGTGGGCTGTGGTGCAAACGTTTGTCTCTGCCAGGGGAGTGCTGCGTGCTTTTTCACTGTTGTTTCCCTGCAAAGGGAATAGTAGGCCAAGAAGTGTGGGGGTGGGGGTGGGGGTGGGGGGGCAATGGTGTAGGCTTTGACTCCTGATGGCTTCCGTGCTAAGATGGGTCCCATGTAAAAGAGAGCCCGGCGCAAGGAGGACAGCTCTGGGTTGTGCAAGGGGCGGGGGTAGTAAGCTAGCTAACTGGATTTCACTGCCTTCTGTCATTTGTGTGCTGCCATCAAAGCTCACCTTCTTGTCTCTCCTGGACTTTTTCAGGAGGCCAGAGGACCCCTGCAGGATGGCCCCGCTGCAGACGCCAAGGGCCGGGCCAGCACCGTCGCCAACGCGGCCGAGAGGACCCCAGGTAGCCTCACTTCATTGTTTGGCTGGGTGGTGCGTCACTCTCTTGGCCTCTGTGACAAGGCCAAGGGTATGAGCCAGCACCTCCAAAGCAGCATTTCTTCGATCGGGCACGAAGTGGCCCGGAACCCTCTGGACTCCTTTTTCATGTGCCAGCTGCTTGCGTTCGGGGTCCCCTTTCTCTATGGCCTGTCCGAGGTGCTGGTGCAGATCAGAGGGGAGTTTCACTGGCCTACCGCGGTGTAGGGACGCCGTGTGGTCAGCAGTGTCGCCAAAGCTCCAGGGAGCGCTTCGCAAGATCTCAGAGCAGGGGCCTGCCCGAGCCCACCTAACACCTTGTGGGCCGCTGGCCCTGAGCCTGTGTAGCTGAGCAGGAGCCCACACAGACTGCTTTCCCCGGGGCTGAATGAGTTGTCAGGGCCCCGTTCGGGACTCCTGGGCCCGAGTTCTGCACTGTGTTCTCCTCAACTTGAAATTGTTGCCTCCCACCCCCTAGTTGGGAGTCTGCTCTTCTGTTTGATCGGGAGCCTCTGAGGAGCACTCCCTGCCCTCCCTGTGCGAGGGGCCCTGCACTTCTGAGGATGCTGAAGCCCTCACTCGTGACACTTCCCTCCTAGCTCCCTTGCACCAGGCGGTGAGCAGTCCGTCCATACCTCCAAACACACATGTAGTCGAGTACAGCAGGCAGGACCACGAAGGGCTGGTGGGCACCAGGCTTGTAGAGAAGTGGGCTCTTCTTTATAACCACCAATTCCTCTCTCAGCCCCATGTTAAAGGACCCTGTGGAAGTGTTCACAGTTCCATGTGGGGCCAGCTAGTCAGGGTGCCCTGATACTGCCCCACTGCTGCCGTCCGGCAGGTGGGGAGAAGTAGCCAGCAACACCATGTTCTGTTTGTTTCCTCCTGCTCAAAGCAAACCCATCTCAAGCATCCATTTATAAACATGACTCAGTTAAATGCAAATACTGAAGGGTCTGTTAGCCAATGCCGGGCACTTTGGAGCAGCAGGTGGGAAGAGGGAAGAATTACCCACGTGGTATACCCACGTGGTGTTCCCATGGTAGATTCCAGAGTTGTTTCTTTCCTGGGCATAAGTGAGCACTGGTACTACCTAGTGCTGCCGGTTTGGGAGGGCAGAGTATGTCCAGAGGCGCTGAGTGGGACCACAGGGTGAAGGGCAGGCTTCTGCTATGACACGGGCCAACATTAAAATCTGGGTAAGCATTCTGGGTGCCCTGCAAGTGGGACTCCATGGTTCAGCCACAGGGGAAGGTTACGCTTCCTGCAGTTCTAAAGGCCTTTCTAATCTGCCCCCCCCTCAGCAAATGCTGACAGCCATGTGCCCGTGCCGTGGTCAGAAACCCCTGCAGAGATAAGGCCAACTCTGCCCTCCCACATGTGAGAGAGCCACCTTATTAAGTTAGGGCCATATTCCTGGGGGGATGGATTGTCCAAAGGGCCTGGCAGCTTTCCAGGTCCATATAGTCAGACAGCTCGCAGGAATTTACCTGTGTTTTGGTTGGCGAGCCCAGAACATCTCTCTAAAAGAATGAGACCGTGAACTTCCGGTCTTTCACGAGCAAGTTGAGTTTGAGTCTGCCCACTTGCCGTCTGATTGAGGTTGCCAGTCTTACTCTCTTGTTGAAGGTGTCACGGGTCTCAGGTGAGGTGGCATCTGAAGAACAGGGGTCCCCTAAGGAGAGAAAAGGGTGTTGGCAGGAAGAGAAGATTAGTGTTGGCAGTGAAGCCAGAGAATCAAGACCTGTGGCATCTCGGCCCTGACAGCCCTCGGTTCTGAACAAGGGTGGCTCCAACACAGGTGGGAGGCATAAGATGTTCCTGTGGCACCCCAAAGCAGCTGCAGCATGAACCCCTACAGTGATGCGAGTAGCACAGTCCCCCCGCCCCCCATGCCCCCCCCCTCCCTACACACACACCAGGTGATGGTCCTCTCTAGATGGTGGGAAGGCCGGAGAGAAGGGTGATAGCATTGTTATGACATCTGCCTCTGGGGCCTTTGGGCATAAAGGGCATACTCCCAAGCACCAGCACCTTCTCTGCAAGGCCACCTAGGAGCAGGACTGTGGGTGGCACGGTATGCAGCATGACATGGGGTTCTTTCCTCTCTCAGTATGGGCTTTCCTTCCTTCAGCCCCAATGTAACCTTGGAATGCACTAGAATTTCCTCCGGGGTAAGCTCCAGAACAGCTCAGGTGTGTCAAGGCTCCAGAAGGGGGTCCTAGGCAGTGTGGGCAGTTGTCGTCATTAAGCCACCCCTCTCCACCCCTATGCCCTCCAGTCTAGAGTCAGTCAGCCGCCCTCTCAGAGCCTCCAGCGCCCGGCCACTATGTTATTTTGCGGCGCTTCCCTTTTCTCCATAATGTTCATTTTCCTGGTGCCAGAATTACTAATGTTATGCCGTCTGTCCCCCCCCCCCTAAAAAAAAGACCCTATCGGAGTTGAGAGAGACCATTCTCAGCCTGCATCTCGTTCCCTGGCAACCTCCTCTCTATTGCTGCCTCGCTCTGGTGCTGCGGGGTGGGGGGATAGCAGTTTTTGTGTGTGTGTGAATGTGCTTTCCATCCAGAAACCCAGTTTCGTCAACGCTCTGCTGCCAAGCTCCTTCCTCCTCCTCACAGCCACAGGGGGTGGGGCCTGGCTCCAGAGTACCTGTCCCCCAACTTCAGGGACCCGGTGGACAGCAGCCGGCAGGGAAGTCAACAGACCCCAGAGGCCTCGGCTGCTGACTATGGGTGGTTTTTTGGTGTGTCTTTGTTTTGTTTTTGGTCCCGAGGGAACCCCCTTCTCATCTCATATACTGCACAGACCAAAAAAGAAAGAAGTCGAGGCCCTGGGGTTTCCCGGGAAGGGACTCGCAGCGCCTTGCCCCCAATCATCGGGCAGGTGCAGAGAGATGGGGGTGGGGGGGCCCTTCATCATTGTCCCGTGTGGGAACCAGCGTCCTACTTGAACTGCCCAGCAACGTCCCTGGGGCCGTCCTCAGACAGCGCTTGGCATGCATGATCCCCTTCAAACCCCGTCGTGTGGACAGCCTGGCGGTGCATGGCAGGAAAGTCGGGGCGATCTCCTTACTGCTTCTCCAGCCCCCGCCCATAGAGGGCTTTCCCGGGAACCCTTGGAGTCAAGCAAGAGAACTCTGCACGGGGCTTTCTTCCCCAGCCCCGCCCCACGTGTGCCAATGTATGCGCCGGGCGCGCAGCTAGGTAGGTAGGCCTTTAGTAGACGCTAGCAGAGCCGTCCCCAAGCTCCCAGTTAGTTCCATGGTCCCGGAGGGTGAGGGGCCTTCGCACTGTGGAGCCTCCTCCCCACAGGGTGTCGCCAGGGGCTCAGGCAACCCTGGCCCGGCTCTGCGCTCAGGATGCCCAAGTTTGAGCCCAGGGACGTACACCTGCGCAAGGGGAGGCTTCCAGTGCGTGCTTAGTTCCCCTACCGAGCCGACTGCACCCCCGTCCTCAGGAAGCGGCCCTTAGGGTTGGGAGCCGCCCGCTCCATTTTGCCTCTAGGCTTGTCTGTTGGTTCCACGGGTTAGGGGTCACAGACCTCACGTCTGTCCGGGGTGTGCAGTGTGTGTGCACCCAGCTGTTTTCTGAAGGACAGTGGGGTGTTCTTAGGCCATCGGAACAGCCCCACCATGACCTTCTAAGTATGACTGGTGAATAGAGGGGCTCGATTTCTCCCGAACCGGTCAGTGAAGGGGGTAGGGGTGGGGCTGGCCGTGCCCTGTCTGTCCACTTCCTGCCTTCCCTAAAACCTTTATTTCCCCATGTTTTTAACCTGTGCTGTTGTGAGTTTTTGGTGTGTTTCTCTGTGAGCTTTTTAATTTAATTGTGTAATTGTGTTTTTGCCGTTTACTGTGAAGCCAAGGTGTTGTGCTTTTAATTTTTTTATTTTAAACAAATGTTACCATTCTTATTTAAGAGAATAAATTCCAAACAATCTTCAGGTTTCTGAGTTTTTCTTTCCCTTCCCTTTTTCCTGATTGGTGGGTGGGAAGGGGGAGAAGCTCAGGCAGGTGTCGCCTGGGGACCCGAGGGGGGGCGGTGAGAGTTGCATTTTCGCTCTTTCTGAGGATGGGGTCAGGGTTTATTCCTGGAATACAGATTCCCACTGATGGGAAGGCCCCCCCCATTCAGGGGGGTTGGCTTGTTGGGAAATGTTGTGCTTTGTCTCGGCGGGTTATAATGGGGAGCAAGATAGCTGTCCTCTGTGTCACAGGTCCCAAATTCAGTCAGTAGAGCAGATGGTGGGACAGGATGCCTACACAGAGCCTGTGCCAACCCTGGAGAACATAGACCCAGGTGCCCACTCAGTGTCTGGCTGTGGGGGCCTGCTGGGGAGGGCTGCAAGAAGGCCCTGTGACCTTGCTCCTACAGCTGGTGCCATGGAGGGCCCTGCTCTTTCTTGCCCGCCTGTCGTCTCTCCCATGCTGCTTTGCTGATGCCTGGACGCCAAGCTGGGACAGCTACAGTCGCCTGGCTGTTTCTAAACCTGGGAGGCCGAGCAGACTGCCCCGAGTTCTCAAATGCCGACTTTACCAGTGGCCTCTTCTGTCATGTCAGCATGTCAGCCACGGTGGGCACAGGCCCAGCCTCAGTGCTGAACCAGGCCAAAAGGGGTCCCCTAGGTGGGGGACACATGAGCACCGTGTCAGCCCCGGCTTCCTGCTCCTGCTGAGGAAGGCTCCCCCGCTGGGCTCGATGGGGTGCAGGTTCCTCAAAGGCCTTGGGCTTGTCCATAGAGTAGACCAACAGGCTCCTGGTTCTCCAAGGCCTTAGACAGTGTTGCTGCTCCTGTAGGGGAGTAGCTACATCCCTATGTCTCTAACAATGCTGCCGACATCTTTTTTTTTTTTT